ACCATCGTAGGTATCCCACACCCACTGAAGGCTCCAACCATATCTATTTTTAAAAGTTTAAACGGAAAACCCGTTTCTGTTTCTGTTTTGTTCAGGCGGCCAAACGGTTGGAAAACCGTGTTTTTACACGGTTAACTGACAGTTCCCCAAAATTAAGCTGGCTTCGCATATGGTAGCGGACAGAACTTCGTGACAAGTTTGAGTCCCAATTTGGAAATTTCAAATCGTTACTACTGACTCAAACGTTTCTCAATTTTTGAATTGGAGTATGTAAAAAGCACGCCTCGACGGATCCCTCGGTCTAAGGTTCCTGTTGCATTCAGTGGCAGCGGGGTCCCTCCGACGGTCTCGAGAGCATGAATAGCCGAGCATGGCGAGCCTCTTAGTCCACGTAAGCGCAATTGAATCTTTCAAGATTACGCATCCAACTCTGGGCTTGCGAGCGCAGCGCATCCCTGTGGCCGGTATCACAGAAGAGAGCATAAGAGCTAGAGGAGTTCGTTCAGTACGCTGCTATGGGCCATAGTGTCTAATCACGAGTCTTGAAAAAAGAAATTTAGACTCGTTTATTTACTCGCGTTCGAGGTCAAAAATTATCAATGTAATATGTTGGAACTGTTTACTTTTTAGGGAATTTTGGCATCTCAATTCGGCCAGAACGACTAAAACGCGTACTGTGTTTTACTCATGCGATTCCTTTTTCTGTGCGTACTTGCTCCCTTGCACCGGACGAGCGGGAGGTACGATTCAAAGAGATCCGAAATCCCGATTTGATCCCCATCACGAAACATAACCGAGTGGCTGTTCCCGTCTTTCTTCCCACTCCACTGGCAACCTTTCTCACTGCAGTCTGCGGATGGTGTCCGACGAGTCCATCGCTGGAAATTTCACCTATCTCTCTCAATATATCGAAGACTCTTGGACTCGCCTCATCGCTCTCTTATCGCTGTCGAAGAAGAATTGCATACGACGAATCGACGATTTGTCGACATTTGTCTTGCCCCACCTTGCCCCGGGTTTTTGGACGAACCACAACATGAAGCGCGGGGACCTCAGAGGTCGTCTGACCACATTGAATTACAGCCTTTGCCAGCTTTAATACGAGAAAGCACCTCTTCGCGAGATCGTTGCTCTATCATCTATTCGTCATGTACACTGTGATCCCCATTAGCCTCTAATGCTATCAAAACTAGTGTACCTCGACCGACGCCTAGATTTCAACTGAGGTGAACCACACCTACCGTTGCTGGAGCTCTCTGGCATCACCCGGATCCAATTTCTCATTGACGTACTGGCAATTACTCTCTCCCCTCGATTTCCGTAGTGCGTCAGTCTTCCTTGCGCAGGTTTCATTTCCGAAAGCCCATACCTTTCATGTGCCGGTCTTCCGCCGGCTCAAGAGGCGTCCATGTGACACCATAATTTGGCGCGCCGAGTCATTCGGCGTGTTCTCAACTAGCCAGGTCACCTCAATTTGGGAACGGGAGCCGGGAGTCAGTACTCCCAAAAATCAATCGGAATCAGCAGCGCACCAATAGCAAAGGTCAGTGGCACCTTTTCGGTTGATATCTGCCGTCCCGATTCTGGCTAGCCCGGCGCTAATCTCCCTCATATATAGCACAGCACACTGACGTTTGCAATAACCCTTGTCATGATAGCACCCGATTCGCCTGCAATTGCTACAGCTTGGCTGCAAGCGTTCGGCAACACTCTGGCCGCCAACGACGTCCCCGGGGTGGTGTCCTGTTTCCCGACGGACGGATACCTCCGCGACATCCTCGTCCTCACATGGCGAAATCGCACTTTGGCTGGGCGCGCGCGCATCGATGCGTATCTCAATGACACGCTCAACGCTGTGGCCATAACCACTGTCCAACTCGACACCCGTGCGCATCTCACTCCCGAATACCGACCCGTAACACACGCCGAGTCTGGCGTCTCGTCTGGTTTTATTTCCGAAACTGAGGTGGGCCACGGAGACGATTACTTCTCGTTGGTACAGGACGCGTTGGGAGTTTGGAAGGCGCTCCTGGTATTCGTGAGGCTTGCGGATATTAGAGGACACGAAGAGGCTACGCCAGAGAAGGGCGCGTATGGCGGACACACACTTGCCTAGAGTTCACGAGACGCGCCCCAGTGGGATGTGGGATTCCTGTCGAGTACGGCACGGATACAAGTTACAGTAATATGGATACAGGTCTGAATCAATCAATAGCGAGGGAGCGTCTATAGTAGGAAAATAAACGACTGATCAGTATGTAGTGTAATTTTGCGGGTCCATCGTACACGGGACATAGAGATGGAATCGGGGTTAGGCGGAAGGAAGGTGGGAGCGGATCCGGGTGTGCGAGTATGGAGTAAGGGACAGGCCGTCCCGCGACCAACGGGCAAAGATACCGAGGTCAGTCCATGACCCACCTCCTCACAGCCTCGCACCCGCCGACATCGGGATGCAGAAGGACGGCGGAGAGCCAGTGCTCGAGTGCGCGGCGCCGGCGGGCGAGGAAGGCGGCGCGGTACCGCGCGAGGGGCGCCTTCGGGGGGAGTTCGGGGACGAAGGTGCGTTGGGAGCGCTGAGCATCGAAGGAACGGGATATGGAGTTAAGGAGCAACAGGACGTGAATATGAGGAGACGGCTACGATATGACAGGCCGAAACGCACCGGAAGGGTCCGCAGAAGTTGCAGTTCGAGGGCGACAAAGTCACTGTATCGCTTGTGCGCGTGGATGAGTGTGCCCTCCTTGGTTTTCATCACGCAGTCGTACACTACATATCGTCCGTCAGTGACCATAGAATCCTTTCACAAGAACTGGACTTCGAAAGACGAAAGCCGAAAGATGAAAAACTCACCGACGTACGCACCCCCCAAGGCATCCCCCACACTCGTCCAGCCACTGATCTGCACCTCCCTCGCAAAAACCGCGCTCTCGCCACAATTGTCCCCAAGCCAGATATCGTTGCTGAACACACTCGGTGGGGCCGCAATGGGCGAGTATGGCCGCTTAGCCCGCGGTTCCGTCGGGGATTCGTCCTGCCGCACCGATAAAAAAAATTACATAAATGAAAATCATATCATATGAAGGACATACGAAAACCAGGTCATCGTACAGCCTCGACTCCTCCTCCACATCAATACCGTTGGGTATAATCTCGAGTCGGCTGGTTGTATGAGCGAACGGATGAGGATTTGGCGAGGGAGAGGCGGTGGACATGGTGGGGGAAAACAAGGAGCGCAGACATCAGCGCGATTTGTCATTTTTCTGGATGTCAGCCGATGGCTGTGCATTGATGTGGCAGTGCTGCAGATCTCTTCTTTCACTCCGAGCTCTCCGATCCAACCTCCGAGTCTTTTGTATGAATGACCAGGAATCCTTACACCAGGTCCGCTCTCGAACGATACCCTTGTTTTGCACGCCGAAACCAGCATATTTAGTGCGTCCAAGGAGATTTGTGGAGTGATTCACATTTTTTTCTCGACGGCGTTGCATCAAGCTATCCTTTTTCCTCGAAGAAATTCTTAATATCCAAATGGTCAATCCTATCGCTCTATGCATCTGGACCCAATCTGGACTTGGTGCTCGGATTCAAAGACCTCCTTGGGCTCCGCGGAATGTTCATGCAAGCGCTCACTCCTGCATATGGCACGTCTCAGGTTCAGGTTCCGACATTCGTTCTGCGGCTCAAAATACTTTGTTCGCGTTTTTATCTCTCTCTTTTCGAGCTACATTCACGGACCAACCTGTGCAATACAAGTCCCTGTGGATCAATGCAGATCGCTCCACCCAACTCTCAGTTAACTCGTCGATTAATAGCCATGGAGAGACGGGCGTTCGAACCGCCCCAGGGACATGACAGGCAAGAATACTGTTTTTTTTTGGCTTGCGTGTATGTGTTTTTGTGTGGCTCGATGGCGCTTCATTCACTCGCCATGTATCTCGATTTCCAAGCTATGGCCCACCACTCATTATCCGCCGCACCCAGTCCTCGCGAACAACGCAATTTGGGCCGTGCATGTTCTCAGCGATGTACATTCAAGCATCCACCGCGACTGAGAAAGTCCCTGTGGATCAAGGTAGATCGCTCCCGTCCTATAGGCGGTCATCTAATCGAATTACTGGAGAGATGGGCGTTCGAGTCGCTCCGGGGACACTGGGTTGGACTCGTCCAACTTTTTCTTGCTTGCTTCCCTCTCTCGTGCTTAGGTATATTCACGCACCAATCTGTGCAATACAAGTCCCTGTAGATCAACGCAGATCGCTCCACCGAACTGTAGCACCTGACTGGTCAATTAATGGAGAGATGGGCGTTCGAACCCGCCCCAGGGACATATCAAAGGAACTATTGTCTTTTTTTGGGCCACGCGTATGTCTAACTTCATTCGCCCGCCATCTATCTCCAGCTCCAACCTCTCATCCACACTGGCTGCTGGCGTCCACTGCTCTCGAACAACGCAATTTGGGCCGCGGATGCTTTCAGCGGTGTATATTCAAGCACCCACCGTGCCTGGGATGGGAAAGTCCCCGTGGATCAAAGCAGATCGCTCCCGCCCAATAGGTGGTCCTCTAATCGAATTACTGGAGAGATGGGTGTTCGAGTCGCCCCAGGGACACTGAGTTAGAAGGTTTAACACTTTTTCTTCGTTCATTCCTTTTCTCGCGCTTAGGCATATTCACGGACCAACCTGAGCAATACAAGTCCCTGTGGATTAATGCAGATCGCTCCACCCAACTGAAGCAGTTAGCTGGTTAATTAATAGCCACGGAGAGACGGGCGTTCGAATCGCCCCGGGGACATGTCAAGAGAAGCATTATCTTTTTTTTTTTTCTTTTTTTTTGTTGGCCTGCGTATGTGTGGCTTCATTCGCTTGCCATCTATCTCCAGTTCCAGACCCCCCCACCAGCACCAGCCGCTGCCGTCTGTTGCCCTCTAACAGGGCAATTTGGGCCGCGCATGCTTTCAGCGGTGTACATTCAAGCACCCACCGCGCCTGAGATGGGAAAGTCCCTGTGGATCAAGGCAGATCGCTCCTGCCCTATTAAAGTTCGGCCATTCCGCGTATGACAAATTAGTGGAGAGACGGGCGTTCGAGTCGCTCCGGGGACACTGGGTTGGACTCGTGCAACTTTTTCTTGCTTGCTTCCTTCTCTCGCGCTGAGGCATATTCAGACCTGTGCAACCTTTGTAATATAAGTCCCTGTGGATCAACACAGATCGCTCCACTCAACTAAAGCTGTTGACCGGGCAATTGATAGCCATGGAGAGACGGGCGTTCGAACCGCCCCAGGGACATGTCAAGGGAAATATCAGACCTTTTTTTTTGGCCTGCCAGTATTTATGTACATATGTCCTGTCCAACATATGGCTTCATCCACGCACCAAGCTCTCGCTCACCAGTTATTACCAGCTCTCGAACAAGGCAATTTGGGCTGCTTTGAATGGACATTCGATATCGTTTGAGTCTTTTTTGTCCGTCTCAACGTCAACGGGCGAATAAATCTTGTAATTTGATATCCCCTCAGACTTCAGCAACCTCATTTTGGTACCACAATGCAGAGTGGTCTCAGTGGACTTACATGGTTGGCCTGCCATCCTAAGCATTTTTGAGGTATCAACTGGAGGACGAGGAGTACTGTACTATTTCGCTCAATTCGTATGTCGCGGGTCACACGCCCAAATTTTAAGAAAATTTTCGAACCTGTCACAGGTCACCGAGGGGATATTCGAATAGACCAAAAAAGTCACAAATCGGCGAAAAATGACCCAAAAATACGATTTTGGCGCGCGCACGGCGCGTTTTGTTTCGGGAACGTCAAGGCGCTCTCACGAAATGCCAAGTTTGACGTGATCATGATCAGCGCTAGATATCGGTCGCTCACTTTTGCTTCCGTCTCCCACCGCTCGTTCGCTCATGTACGCCGTTGAGCAGCAGCAGTAAATAGTGGACAGTGGTAAGTAACTACTTCTACTTCAATCCAGGTGCATCTAGATCCTCTCCCTTGTACTTATTCTACAGTTAAAATTGAGTTAAAACTACATTTCTGAGAATGTCTGAGAGGCGCCCGCCACTTTCCATGAGATTTACGAATTTCTTTTGGTGTCACGGCCTGGCCAGCGGATTTACGAAAACCCAAGTTAGAATGTGCGGGTCACAGGCCACAGCCGGGGAAAATTGAGCGAAATAGTACAATAGGTATTAGGATGAGTTTTTTTGTGGACGGTTTGCAACGAGCTACCCGGTAGTCCCGGGAATAACGTTAGCTGACATCTGGAATGTTTCCTGACGTGTGATGACGGTTACCAAATCAACTCTTGTCTCTTGCCATGTCTCCCCACAGCCAATCCGCCACAACCCCTCGAGAGCAATGTCTCCAAAATTCGGATCTCCTAGACCAAATCCTACTGCTGTTTTTGCCGTCACTGGGGAGCCCACAGACACGGAGTGTGCAGTGGCACAAGTGGGGTATTCGCGATACCAGAAACACATTGCACTCCACCGCCTTGACCTCCAGGGCCTTCTACCATTCGGCCATTCCATTGCTCTGGCGGAGACTTGACAATCTTGTGCCCTTGCTCCGTTTGTTACCATCTTTCAAGATGTACTACCCTGAACAGCCGGGGGCTTTCCGAATCATTATCCGGGTCAAAGGGCCCGTGTCAATGGTTTCTACGTGCGTCTCGCACAATCCCGTACTTTTGCGTGTATGATCCACTGATTTGTTGTATAGTACCTGCCAGGAATCATAGAGGATACAGACTGGCTTGTTTTCGATCGGCATGCAAACTATGTCAGGGAGATCATTCACATAAAATCGACCGTCAGCCCTACAGTGTATACGCGCTTAGCGATGCGCAAATCTATTCTCCTTCCAAACTTATCGCTATTCAAGTACGGGGAGTACGCGGTGGACGACCACACCATAGACCTTATCCTTTACGTATCCCCGTCACTGGTATCTGTCTCCCTTCCCGCCCTAGCGCCCGCAACAGAAACATTCTTGAACATGCTATCCAACCATCCCCCTCCTCTTTCCCATCTCTGTATTTACAAACACCCGACTACGGTGCTGTCCTTCTGCAGCATCTATCGGAACTTGCAGTCTGTCAGCTTTATGGGTCTCACAGGACCTGTTGCCCAGGCCGATTTCCTGGCCCTTGCCTCTCTGCCTTTACTTCAGTCCTTGACGACGGACATGTATGGCTGGCACAAAGTCGACTTCCGCTCCATCCCTTTTGAAAGCATTTTCTGCGCTCTCGTATATCTGAAGATTGATGGTGCTCTCCTGTACGAATCATGCCGCATTCTGCCGCTTCTCATCCCCAGGATCGGGGCAATATCCGTAGTTTCCATCTCCGTCGCATGTGAGGACAGGGGATATCGCGCATTGGAAATCCCCACAGCAGGCCCCGAGACTTTTGTTGCACTTTCAGGCGCCATCGCCACTCGCTGGTCGACAACTCTCCAGGATTTACACATCACTGGACTGCCGTGTACAACAGACGAATTTTCGGCCTTCCTAGGCTTGACGCACATCCGTACGTTCGAGCTGAGGCGCGGCCTTAACGGTCCATTGAACGACGCGCGGATTTTGGCCGTAATCTGCAACTGGACGGAATTGACATCGCTCACCATCGAAGGCGCCGACGCGGACATCGAGATCATGAAGTGCCTCGCGCTGCACTGCCACGCGCTGCACTTCCTCCACGTCGACTTCTTCCCCGACCCACTCCCTGACATATCGACGACCCCTGTGCTTTCGCACGCGCTCGCCAAGCTTGAATTTTCCAAACTCGAAACAATGAGCGCCAGGTGGAAGCTTGTCGATATGCACCTCCTGGCGTCACATCTCGATCACCTGTTCCCGCAGCTCTTATGGATTTCGGCAGATGGATGGGATCATCGATGGCATGAAGTTGAACAGCTTGTTATGATGATGCAAGAGAAGCGCCGCGCCGTGTAAAATTGATACTCTCGTCCATTCTCTTCTTATCCATAACATGTCTGAATTTCCTGAGCGGCCTCGTGTATTATTTCTTTTGTAACAACAAAATTTTACCAGCGACTCTATGTTCAATTCAAGAAGTAAAAGGTGCCTGAGTCACAACTACCTGGAACCGTTGGATGAGTCAAATTTTTTAATGAACCACAAGATGTGCCGTCGCTTCGCTCCGGCGGGCGTTGTTATAAAGATTTGTGCCACTGTGCCAGGCTGCACCACAAAAACAGAATTTCCAGGATAGCAGGCTCGTATATCGGAGCACATCAGTAGAGGCGCGCGTAATTGACTTCGGAAAGAATTCTACAGTAACGGTCATTTTTCATTGCATGAATCTCTACTACTACATATGCGCCGGTCGGCAGAAGAAATGAAAGCGGCCGAGCTGAAGGTACTATCCAGAGATATAAATTTGCCTACCACGATAATCAGCATGGAGACTCCTGCATAGGTGGGTTAGACTATCAGTTGAGCTTTCAAACAGCTGTTACCTTCTCGAAAATAGGCTCAGCATCGCACCTTTAATTGAAGGGCCATCGATGCAGGAGTGAATCAGGGAAACTCTCACCGAGAAATGATTATTCAATCGAAAACTGGAAGAACCTCCATAATTGGTGCAGAGCCAAGGCGTGATAGAACCTCACACTCACGGTGAAGCATGGATTCAATCAGACAGAAATAGACCCATACATTCCGTAGCTTCCAGCCGCCTGGATTTTTTTGGTTGGTTTCCTGAACATCCACTGCTTCCGATCCCCTGTAGACAGAGGGTCTGTCTACCCCGTAGACAAAGGGTACATGAACCCCTTCGCCTACCTGTGTCTACATGTGTCTACATTTGTCTATGCCGGTCCACGTACGTCGACCGACATAGACTGATGTCGACGTATGTAGACCGTCGTAGACAAACGCTGCATAAGGATGGACACGGGTACACCCGCGGGTCCCGCAACCCGTCGGGTATACCCGCGGAATTTCCAGCATAAATAAAATTTTACTGTCATACAGTGCGGTAAATGTAGAGTACTTGACAATCTCAACATATTTCATTTCCCGAGCTATCTGCCTCGTCTTGGGCCCGAGCGGGCTTGCGCTTTTTTGGGCCGCATGCTGCTATCAAGTCGTTTATCCAAAGCAAGTCGCGGCGTCCCCAAGACACCAAACAAAGCAGGCGAGATACGAATTTAGAGGCACACGCGATTTACAAGGCCTGCGCGTGTCGATTCAGCTCAAAATCAAAAGGGTCGAAGGTTTAGTTTTCATCTGTTTACTGTTTGCAATACCCGGTAAACTAAACGGAAATATAAACGGTATTAATGGTTTAAAACCTAAACGGAAATCGTTGGAGCCTTACACTTTGATCTCTCACGCTCCCGGTCCACCGCCTCAAACCTCAATCTTACTGCAGTTCTGTTCGCATTCATGGACACAAATTTTCTGCCTGCTTATGTGTGGCAAAAATAAGCTTTTTGGAGCTCAAAAACCTACGGGTACACGGGTCGGGTACGCGGCTTGAGCACGGGTCTGAAGTCGCGACCCGTACCTGTACCCGCGTCCACCCGCGGGTACCCGCGACCCGTGTCCATCCCTAGTTCCGACCCCCTGTACACAGAGGGTCTGTCCACCCCCGTAGACGAAGGGTATATGGACCCCTTCGCCTAACTGTGTCTATGTCGGTCGACGTACGTAGACCGGCATAGACTGATGCCGACGTATGTGGACCCGCGTAGACAAATGCAGGAAAATCCGGAGCTACTAAATTTGGAGCTTACAAATAAAACAGTGGGATGGTCGTAAGCTGACCTATCCAGTAGAATAGCAAAATGGAAGCCAGATCTACATTATGAAATTGAGGGAGGTGTGTCTACGTGCGTCTATGGTGTAGACGCATGTAGACATTTGTAGCTGACGGGTAGACGGACCATGTCTACGCCACGTAGCCGGACCCTAGCCGGATGTACTCCAACGTCACGGCGTACACATAGGTAGCCGGACGTAGCTGAAGATTGACACATGTCGCCGCATGTATCAATGTACACCTGGGTGCGTCTACATAGGGTCGGAACGCGGTGATCGCGAGATCGACATTTATCTCACCATGTGCATGTA